CCTCAAAACCCCAAAACCCCAAAACCCCAAAACCCCATTGAGGGCAAATAATCTTGAAATTATTAAATTAAATGAGTGACTTTAAATGCAAACATGCTGGATGCACTGAGAAGCCTGTTTTCTATGTCTCAGACAAAAGATTGTACATGTGTTCACACCACAAAGATATCAAATATTTTGGACATAAAGTAGAGGACCTAATCAGCCCTGATACAGTTATTTCCCAGATATTTAGCGTTGAATCCTCCAGAACAGACTTTATCAATCTCTCTGAAAAGTTTAACAATGGAGTTATTCCTGAAGAGAATCAAAACCTGGATAAGATTGTGAGTGAAGAACTTGTCCATATTTATCAAAAGCTCAATAGAGCAATAAAAGCCAAGGAATACTTCAGATACGCCTCTTTGCTTAAAGAAGCTGCCAAGACAGGAAAGGTGCTGACAGAAAACAAAATTTATTTTGATATTATCAACAAGTGTGTGGAAGAGTTTTGCAAGGCAGAGTCTGATGATCTTATAAACATCCACTTAATTCAGATGAAGTCCAAGAATAGACAAAGTAATTCAAATGAAGTTAGATCTTTTGTTCTCTTGAACAAATTTTAGATATTTTATCTCTTAAAGAGAGAATCTTTTGCTTTAGTTTTGAAAGATCATACATTCTTTTAATATACTATTATCTCAAAACAAGGTCAACGTTTGCTCTGATAGTCTAAACTTTGTAATAAAACCATGCTAGAGAAATCTGTATCCACACTCTAAATAGTTTATGCATGCTAATGTTCTCCCTCTCTAATTTTCCATCTCGCTTAGATGAAAAAGTTTCCTTCAAAAGTGGGAACTTCGCTTAAATAATTAAGTTCACGCTTTTATTGGCTTTGCCTAAGGACTTCAGTACTGATCATTAAAGTGGTCAAATATTGGCCAAGCTGTGTTTCAAATTTCACATGACTTGTTCTAACTTGGCTACTTTCTCTTGGCTATTTCTCATTTTTACTCTAAAGAGAGTTTTCTGAACTCCATCAATTTATCTTATAGCGTTAAGACGCAAAATTTATATTGATTAGGACTAAAGATCAACTAGTATCGCTAAAAGTTGGAAGGGTTAACCTCCAAACACTTCTGGGGTTCACTTTTGTAATCATAAAGTTATTTAAACCTCTCTGATTGTTCTACCAGGACTTTCTTTAATTCTCACAGACAGTATTACAGAGATAGTTTCTGAAATTTTATAAAATTTTAAACAAAGCCACCAAGAATGGTGCTCTAAACAAGAACTTAGTGTAAAATTTCGGTATTTCTTGTTAGCGGCATCTTAAAATCATACTACCCCATTTATCTTGTGTAAACTCCATCATCTGGCTTTGTAGTTTATTAAAGAAATTAAATTGAATGAAACTTAGAGTGAGAATTTCATTGACAATTTATGAAGAATGAAGAGAAATAATAGCTAGATTAATTTAGAACGCTATTAAAAATACTCGCTTTCAATCGGAGTGATCTCATATGTAGAGTTTTAGCCTTAGAAGAACTAACAGAAGCCATATTTTAGTAAAATATGACTGTATTGTTGAATAGAATAAAGCTTACTTAACCTTTAAATCCCTCAGTTATTTTGACATCACTTTGGCATCTTCCCAATTTGAGAAAGCTCAGTAAAAATAGGATATTTTTAGGTTTTAGCTATAATAAGCCAATGAAATGATTTTTATAATAGAATTAGAGCAAGTTCTCTTAATCCTTAGCATATGCTCTAGTTGTCAGCTACTGAATCTGTAAAAACACCTTGTCATACTTTCTAAAATAAGAGATTTTACAATTTTGAAGATAGACATGGATATTAAAAATTTCATCAAATTTTGTACCCTACATAATTGAGTGTATTCATTATTCTTTGAGGAAGAGTTAGGTATTGATAGAAATCAAAGCTTCAGCTACAAACTAATTATCACTAATCGCAAATTAACTGCTTAAAGCCAACTTCAATTTGCCATAATCGAAATTTTCTTATTCATAGTAAGCCCTTATATAGCCTTAGAAAAAGACAGGTCATGCCAGATTCAATGACATTAAGTTTTGGAGTTTTTAATAAACGAGAGGAGGACTTAAAATATGACCAATAATATAGTTTGCTTAAAAACCACACTAAATACAGCTTCTTGTTGATTCCAATGACCCCTATCCATATACTCCATAATGGAATCAGTCTTCTGACTTGCCAGCTAACTATTTGCTTCGGCTATTACTAACATTCTCGACTCTAGGTCAATATTTCGAGGTATTCAAGAAGTTAGGAGAAAATAGAAACTCAGATTTAACAAAATTTCAGGAGAAAATTGATAACCTTAAAGACTCTATTGAAGAGGAGCAAAAATAAATATGAAACTATCCAAAAAGACTACGAAAAGCTAGAAGACAAGGAGCAGGAATTACAAAAAGACAATAAGCTTCTCAAACAGTTGCTAGGAAAGAAAGACCCAGAGACTACTACACTTCAAGGACCCATAAGCAAGAACACAGAGGAATCCAAGCAAGTCAAGAATGAGTCTAAGGTAATTAAGTATCTTTAGTGGATAAATATGAAACTTGGTAAATTATGGGTCTGACAGCTCAGCCTCTAAGCTTCTGAATGTGCTCATAATATGAATCCCAAGTGGTAATTAGTTAGCTTCATTATGAACCTTAATAAAAGATAGACTACTAATCCTTACACTCTAATAATTTGATTGCTCCCTCTTCTTGAAGAATATACTTGAACTAATGACCAATACAACTCTTATAGGAGGAATCAAAAGCTGAAGAAGTCCCAAAATCTACTCCACAATTAGAAAACTCAGAGGGTAGTGCTTCCCAGCCAACCCAAAGCTCTTCTGTTGTTATTCATGAAAATAAATATTTCGAAACTCTCTTTAAAAGTTTTTATAAATTTGACCCTACTAAAGAAAAGAAGATGGATTTAGAAGCTAAATTAGTTTTAACACCTGCCAAAAAGGAGCAAATGGATTTTATATGTTCCTTGAATCGAAGATTACCTGTTATGGACTCTATTCGCTTGTCCGAACTTCCTCCAGAAAGAAGAGATGATTTGTGCAATTTCTTGGAAACCAGATTCCCTAAGCATGTCAGAAGATTCGATTTCAATTATAGTTCTCTCTATTGTGACATTCTTGAAGATTACATTGACGCACTTCTAAGAGCAAGCTTGAGAGTGACTTCAATTTTCTACCTCCATAATCTCAGAGTGAGTTCATTCCGTATTTCACATCTAATTTCTGCTTGCAAAGAGAAGAAAGGAGTTGGGTTCATTGACTGTAAATTAGATCTTTCAGAGCCAATCAACTTCTATGGGTCTCTCAAAGGAAGTAAAGTTAAGATATTTGTACTAGACGGTTGTGGCCATTCTTCAAAAGGCGACTGGGCCAACAACCCAGATCATTTCGAAAACTTAATCTCTGGTCTTGCAAGTGAACAAGACTTCAAGAGTAACTTAGGAGACTTATGGGTGGCAGGAAACAACATGAAGAAGGCTGAGGTTGAAGAATTGCTTGATAGATATGGCTTTAACGGAGTTAGAGTACTCGGAAGTAAAGAATAGCCCAGAAATGGAAGCTTCAAAAAGATTTTATGACATCTGCACCAATTGGTATTATTTCAGTTGTATAATAATCTTTTTTGTCAAATTATGATCTTTCAATACTTTTGAGAAGCACTGGGGTTTTGGGGTTTTGGGGTTTTGGGG